AATGTCATAAAACAATATGTGTACTACTGTTTCATGAGAAACTATTTGTTCTGTAAGCCTTCACCTGAAGTACAATAAAAAAAAAAAAATTACAAGGGGAAAAAAAAAATGTTCCCTCTCAATTTTTATGATGGAAAAGGTTAGTAGAGAATCACTTTTTTTGTTGTTGTTGTTTTAAATTCTGTCATAGTCTAGAGGAGAGGTTTTCCAACTAGGCTATGCAGAGACCTAGGGTGTCCAAGGAGCCTCTGTAAAGGCAACGAGGATGGGTGCTGAGCTATTATTAGGCGTCTCACTGCAAGCGTGCAGTTCAGCTTTGGCTTTTGACATATTGCGTGCCGCTACTACAATTTGTTTGAACAAAGAATCCTATGGATGATGTAGAATTACTCTAAAGAGTGGATCTCTATCTTTTTTATGTTGTGACTGCTAAAGAGCTCCCAGTATCTCCATTGCCTTTCCCTCTGTAAAAAAATTAGCAACTCAAACTCTCCAAAATACATCTTTAAATATAGCAAGCATTTAAAAATATTTTTTATGGGTGGATGGATGAACACACATAAGCATGCATGCACACCACTTACAGATGATTCTATGACAATCACCATTTCGTTTTACAAACATCCTGGCAACTGGCTTCAAGGTCCTGGCCTCAATTTTAAAACTCTGGCCTATAACCTTGAAAATGTAGACAGAAATATAAACCTTGAGCTCAGAAGATAACAATGACAACTGACAGGTTTTTTTTGTTGTTGTTGTTTATTTTACTGTTTACAACATCTTTTAACTTACATAAATCTCTGGCTAAGAACCAAGCACTTCTTCTTCACCACAAGTCCAACCCTGAACAGAAAAGGCAGAAATAAGAGAACTGAATGGACAGCACCAAAGCTGAGGCAGGCCATGAAGGTCACGGAAACCACTGCGCCACTGAGAATGTCAATGGTGAGAAACAGGACTGCTGCTTACAGCTCAGCAGCTGTACTCAGGATTGTTGTTGTTAGTTGCAGTCGAGTCCACAACATTTCGTTCTGTTACACTGGGGTTAACATGAGTACTCAGGATGGAACAACAATAAGCATAGGCTGCTCACAATCAAATCCTTAAGGGAATATTAAAAGTCACCTGAGGATCCACAAACAGCTCAGCATTGGGGCGGGGGGGCCAGGTTGGAAGAAAGAAGGGAGAAGGTTCGTAAAATATTCTAATATAGTTCTTGCCTTCTATAGTACAAGATTACCAGAAAGGTATGTTTTTGATACTATGTTAAGCTCCTAGAAGACTCTAGAACTAGCATACCATCTTAAGTGTGGTTCTTTGGACTAAGACACAGCCAGATCTAAAAGAAAAATCTGTTTTTAAGCACAAGGAATCATACAATGAAAGAGATTAAGTATAAACCCGTTGCCATCGAACTGATTCTGACAGTACAGCGTTATATGGGGGCTTATAAGAGGAGCACTTAGCCCAACAGGAGTATGAAGGTATGGGGAGGAGAACAGAAAAGACTTTCCTTAGTGCTGTGTACACTCATCAAAGAATACATGTTCCCAACAACTGTCCCCATTCTCTCTCTCCTATATAATCAATTTTCCCCCTTTACTCACTCACTTCCATCAGCACGCAAACATCATTTAAAAAAGAAAAAAAAATCATCGTTGACTCCATATCCCCCTTCAGCTTCTATCTCATTTCTCTCTTCTACTGTATAAAATAATCTCCTAGAAAGAAACAGTCTGTGTTTGAGGTCTACATTTCCTCTTTTATTATTCTCTCCTAACCCTCTCCAGTCAGCCTTTCCTCCCCACCACTCCACCAAAACAGCTCATCAAGGCCACCAATGACCTCCCTATTGCTAAATGCAATGGTCATTTCTCAGCCTCATCTTACTGGCAGCATTTTGACATAGCAGATCACTCCTCTTCCAAGGAATATTCTTCACCTGGTTTCCAGGGTCCCACTCTCTCTTGGTTCTTCTTTACCCTACTCCCTCCCTCAGTTCTCCCCAACCTCTGAACACTGAGGTACACCAAGGCTTAACTGAATCCTCTTTTCCTTATCTATGCTCCCTGGATGATCTCATCCAGGTTCATGACTTTAAATACCATCTATATGCAGATGACTCCCAAATCTAAGTCTCTATCCCAGATCTTTCCCTAATTCAAATTTCATTTATCCAACTACCATGACCAAAACCAAACTCTTGATTTTTGTGCTCTTCCCTCAGCATTTACTCCTCATTGCAGTAAATGGCATTGATTCTTTCAGTTTCTCAGGCCAAAAACCTTAGAATCATCCGTAACGCCTATCTTTCTCTCTCACCACACATTAAAAGTGTCAGCAATCCTGTTGACTACCTTCAAAATATATTCTGAGTCCAAACACTTCTCACCTCCTCCCTAATCACCACCCTCGTCTAAGAAATCATTATCTCTAGCCTGGATTATTGCAATCGCTTCCTAACTGCTTCAGCCCTCGTTCACTTGCAGTTTATTTTTGTCATGGCAGCCAGAGGGATCCTTTCAACAGTCAGATTATGATACTCCTTTGCTTAAAACCCTCAAATAGTGGGAATTTAGGTCCTTTGTAGAATAATCTAACAAGGTGACATTTGAGCAAAGATGTGAAACAGGTAAGGAAGCAAGCCATGCAGAATCTGGAGGAAAAACTCAGACAAAGAAACAGCAAGTGCAAGTGACCTGATGCAGAAGTATGCGTTATTTTCAAGGAACAGCAAGAAGGCCAGTGTTACTGGAGCAAGCACTAAAAATCCTGATCAAAGGTCACCCAGAAACTCTCATCTCCATAGTGTGAGCAATTTCTAGATCCCTGTAGGAAGGATGCGCAACAATCATTCTGGACAAAATCAAGAATAAAATGAACTGAAATGGTAACTGAAATGGTTACTACACATATGTGGAAAATTATTAAGGCATTCCTGGAGCTGTTGAGACAGGTCTTTAAAAAGCATGACGGGATTAGATTAAGTTGGGGAAGGGAGTTGGATAGACAATGATAAACCAAACTTAATTCATATCTTCTTCATTTTCAAATTGTAGGGGAAACCACGAATAAATAAATGGTCATTTGTACCTACTAGTGTAAAATGTCAACTTGCAGGTTCGAATGGCAGTGTCAAAACTTTTAGTCTGTTAAACTCAATGGTTCATCATTTTTTGGAGGGGAAAAACAATAAAAGGATTAAAATGTGTGATTATAATAATATAAGAACTCTTGTACATATAAGGTAATAGGAAAGATAATTACATATTTAGCACCTGGGCTCATTTGAAAAGCTAGTTATTTTAGTCCACATACTGCACTTTAGTTCTTTTGTCCTATTTTAGTTTGTACAATATATTTTTATTCCACAGCTAATTTAGACAACACTCTTTTAAAAATGCACAGAAAATTCCTATTTTATCTCTTCTCAAAACGTTGACCCTAGAACTAATATAAATTTGTGTTTATCAACTACAGGCTGAATTATAGAGCTAAATTCATAATAAAAGAAACTTAAGACTGTGAAAGGAATTTGGTCACTGGGTACCAAAGAAAGCACTTAAGTCTCCAGCTTTC